TCAACTGCAGTTCATTTTAAAAAGCCGAATTATAAACCCGTTAATTGGGGTGGCTGTTTAACGTTTAAATATAGGATCATGTCGCTTTTGTGCAGTCCACGGATCACAGACACAATAAGTCGGCGACTGGCACATCTTAAATTGATGATATCCAGATTTTTTTAGATATCAGATAACCAGGACCTTGACATTTTTAACAATGTCAGTGAATAGTGGCTTTGTATTCATCTCGCTGCCAGCCAGCTCGGTAAATACTCTGCCGCTACTCACTTTGATTACGAAAAATAATTGTTTATAACAAATTACCAATTTTAGGCAAAATGGCTTTATGTAACAGTCAGTTTTGCTAAGAAATGGTCATATTAAATGAAATGTTTTGTTGGCAAATAACTATTTTGTGACACAATTGTAATAACACATCATCATGGTTTTCGTGACAAATTGGTTATGTTTAGTAACCATTCTTTTTTTCAATATTTTTTGTTGTTTCAAATAGCCACTTTTCGACAGATGGCTAGAAACTGGAAATATCAAATGCGCGTTTTAAATAAGTGAATTTATATAAGTTGTGTACATAACTGCGATCATTATGCACACGTCTTTACATTTTTAGATAAACAGCGCGTAACTTTGTTGACACTTAGCCCATTAGCTTTCAGCTTTAAACATCATCGTATTTAAATAAATGTATCCCTATCTATATATCTATTGTTTCTTTGAAAAAACCTCAATTCCAATTGTATTCCCAAGTACAGTGNTAACAATGTCAGTGAATAGTGGCTTTGTATTCATCTCGCTGCCAGCCAGCTCGGTAAATACTCTGCCGCTACTCACTTTGATTACGAAAAATAATTGTTTATAACAAATTACCAATTTTACGTAAAATGGCTTTATGTAATAGTCAGTTTTGCCAAGAAATGGTCATATCAAATGAAATGTTTTGTTGGCAGATAACTATTTTGTGACACAATTGTAATAACACATAATCATGGTTTTCGTGACAAATTGGTTATGTTTAGTAACCATTCTTTTTTTCAATATTTTTTTGTTGTTTCAAATAGCCACTTTTCGACAGATGGCTAGAAACTGGAAATATCAAATGCGCGTTTTAAATAAGTGAATTCATATAAGTTGTGTACATAACTGCGATCATTATTCACACGTCTTTACATTTTTAGATAAACAGCGCGTAACNGAATAAAGCAGACTACCATTCGGACGTACCTTTCTTAAATTAGTTGTCTCGTGTTATTTGCCATCCGATGTACATGCATACAGGTATTCAACTGCAGTTCATTTTAAAAAGCCGAATTATTAACCCGTTAATTGGGGTGGCTGTTTAACGTTTAAATATAGGATCATGTTGCTTTCAGTGCGCAGTCCACGGATCACTGACACAATAAGTCGGCGACTGGCACATCTTAAATTGATGATATCCAGATTTTTTTAGATATCAGATAACCTGGACCTTGACTTTTTTAACAATGTCAGTGAATAGTGGCTTTGTATTCATCTCGCTGCTAGCCAGCTCGGTAAATACTCTGCCGCTACTCACTTTGATTACGAAAAATAATTGTTTATAACAAATTACCAATTTTAGGTAAAATGGCTTTATGTAATAGTCAGTTTTGCTAAGAAATGGTCATATCAAATGAAATGTTTTGTTGGCAAATAACTATTTTGTGACACAGTTGTAATAACACATAATCATGGTTTTCGTGACAAATTGGTTATGTAGTAACCATTCTCTTTTTCAATATTTTTTGTTGTTTCAAATAGGCACTTTTCGACAGATGGCTAGAAACTGGAAATATTAAATGCGCGTTTTAAATAAGTGAATTTATATAAGTTGTGTACATAACCGCGATCATTATTCACACGTCTTTACATTTTTAGATAAACAGCGCGTAACTTTGTTGACACTTAGCCCATTAGCTTTCAGCTTTAAACATCATCGTGTTTAAATAAACGTATCCCTATCTATATATCTATTGTTTCTTTGAAAAAACCTCAATTCCAATTGTATTCCCAAGTACAGTG